AGATTCAATGAAACAGAAGTACCCTCATCTTTTCCCGAGTCCATGATTTGCATTCTGTGTCTGAATTTCAGGACGAAATTTCCTCTAACGGGGGGATGGTGTGACAACCGGAAACTTTTTCCGTTTCCGTTATACGATTTCCGTTAATAAAATTTGAATTTTATTAATTTTTCCATCAAACTTCTTGGTTTAGAAAATCATCTAGTTTTATATAATTAAATTTATATACGAGTCAGAACCAAATCGCGCGAAAACCCGAATATCTCGAAAAATCAAACAATTTCCGGCCTAAGTGAGTTTACGGCCGTAAACTCGTTTACGGTCGTACACCCGTTTACGGCCAGCGAAGGTTGGACCCCCACCACCCCAGACTATATATATGAGACCCCCACCCTCATTTTGACCTTCTGGGCCGTAAACTCTCTCCTTCCCTCTCTAAAACTCTTGACCGTAAACACCTAAAACACCCTCATTTTTCCGGAAATCATCGAGAATCATCATTGGGAATCATTTCGGGGCATTTAGAGCGCATTTTTATCGAAATCCAACGTCATTGTTCTTGATTTTACGGCCGTACACACTTCGTATCTTCATATCTTCAAAGGCCGTAAACCCTGTTCTTGAGTTTACGACCGTAAACTCATCGAATCTTCAAAGCCCGTAAACCCTTCAAAAGACAGATTACGACCGTAAACCCTGTTCACGGCCGTAAACCCAGTTCACGGTCGTACACACTTTTTAAGTGGTGCATTTGTCTGAAAATCCACTTTCCTCGATTCGATCACGTCCCTGTAACATTTCTTAACCGAAAGCAAGTGTTTTCCTAACACATTATCTAACAAAATCGCTAATTTGGATACATTTATGTATTTAATTGTTATTAGGATTCCGTTAAGTGCCGCGCTACGACTCGAGGGCCTTCATTCAGTCTGTTGAATCGACGCTTGTGCACAACCAACAGTGAGTTCATACCCCAATGTTTTTCATGATTTTTATACGTTTTCAGGGGGGAGGGGGAATACAAGCCAAACACAAATGATTTTGTGAAACTAATACAAAATGACTTTTACCCGTATAAAACTTATGCAATTGATTCAGACAAACGATTTTCACGTTTTTATAAAATATTTAGATATTTTATCCCCTTTTGTACTATGTTGAGCATAAGGGGCGTTTTCCACATACAATTATGATTGCATAGTTTTCAGATCAATATACGAACTGGATATACTATATTCATGCAAACTATGATAGGTATAGTTTGGGATTTTCAATACACTGAGTTATACATTTCTAAACATATAAACTATGACATATTTAGTTTATGATATACACTACAACAAGAGTACACACTTAATAATTATTTAAGTATAATTATTATTTTATACAGTATTCTAACAGATTTAAATACAAGAGAACGATACAGAATTACATGTAAACTAGATTATACAGAATTGTGAGACACTACTTCAAAACGGTACCCTTAGGTGTACTGAATTAAATCCTATCACAGTATAACCAGAGTCTGCTGGAGGGAGAGCGTGAGATTTGTGAATAGATATATTCGGGACTGACAATCCCACACCTGAACTGCTAGCTACAGTTAGGTAGGCATGCCTGGGGTGACAAATGTCATAACATCCGACGCCTGAAGAATGTCGAAAAGGTCACTAGGTCATATCAAGCATGGTTATACGACTCACAATAAGTATAAACTAACCTTTGTTTACTGGATTTCATTCTTCATTAGTTTTATTTTAATTAATAGAAGTATTATACATTACACTGGAGGACTCCAGGGATACAGCAACTGGTTTTATTTTAAATAATAAACCTACTATGCATACTGGTGGTAGCCAGGGTTTTCAAACAGAACATACTATACATACTGGGGGTAGCCAAGGTTTTCAAATAGAACATAGTATACATACTGGTGGTAGTCAGGGTTTTCAAACAGAACATAGTATACATACTGGTGGTAGCCAGGGTTTTCAAATAGAACATACAATACATACTGGTGGTAGCCAGGGTTTTCAAACTGAACATTCCATACACAGAGGTTTTCATACAGAATTCATCATACTATACATATTGGTAGTAACCAAGCATACAAACTGATATGTTTTATACTACAAAGGTACCGTAACAAACTTTTATAGAAGGAACTGGTAATATCATGTTTTTACTAAAGAAAATATTGGATTTTCTTGGAAACATACGAACATTTGACAAGATACATCAACAAGTTTTCACTACAAAACATAGCTTAAGAACTCAGCAGCTTTATGTTGATACTCTTTCAAAACTGCTTGTATTCTCAGGAAATCAGTAGACAGGTACCTTCCGGAGTTCTGAGAAGATGAAGAGTATGGAGTCATGTCTTTTTATTTTGCTTATACTTTGATGTATGGAATCAAATTAAACAGATGTAAACGTTTTTCATTCACGTATTCAATGTAATGGTTATGTTTACTATGATTGTTACGATACAATTGTTATGATACTACATATGACGTCCTCCACCCCCGAAGGTTTCCGCCGTTCTGGTTTGGGGGTGTGACACATCAGAGTGAACATCCCATGCTAAACATAATGGTATATGCGATGCAATCATCTCGAGCTCTTCTCCTTGCAACTGGAAGTACCTGAAACAAAAACTATAAACCGTAAGCACGAAGCTTAATGAGTTCCCCATACCACCACACACCATACACATAACCACATATAATGGGCCCCCGCCCCTACATCGGGCCCCACCCGACATCAGACTCTATCCGGCATCGGGCCCGGCCCGGCATCAGACCCCGCCTGGCATCGAGCCCCGCTCGGTAAACAGATCTGTTTCTCTTAGGCCCCGCCTGTCTCTGGGCCTCGCTTGCTATACACATACAACAATATCACATAAGCATACTAGCACATAAAGAAACATACTCTAGATGTATTTCCTGTCCTAAGGCCTCGCCTATCTTGGACCCCGCCCCTGTCCTGCTACTGGTGAGTCATGGAACCCCGTCCACACTCCTGTTGATAGTAAGATACGGGCCCCCGCCCACACTGACTTCTCTCCTATCACGGGCCCCACTCCTACTCTACTATGGATGAGATCTGGAACACCGTACATACTCAGCTAGTGATGAGATACGGTACCTCGCCCACACTCGCCTCCCTACCATGCAAATACATGTATCACACAAACAACAAGTATAATCTAACATACAACATTTCTCGGGCACCGCCCGACATTAGACCTTGGTCCAGAATAAATACCATCATACAATGCCTAGGGCTAACCCCCTGGTCTTCCTACCATACATAAACTAAATGGGCCGACATTGTGGTCGTAGACCCATGCAAACAGTGAGGAGACTCACCATGCACTGATGAAGACCTAGAGATAATCCTCTGGCTGCTAAATAGCATTTCCCCGAACTGCTAATCCTTCGGCTCCCCGAGCTATCAATACCAAAATAACACTTAGTCCAAAATGCCCTCAAAAGTCAAACTAGGTCAACCTTGGTGAAAGTCAAAGTCAATGGTAAAAGTCAACGCTCCGAGTTGACTCAACTCGTCGAGTTATCTGCTAACTTGTCAAGTTCCTATGTTAATACGAATCGATGTATCGCGAACCAACTCGTCGAGTTTACACCCAACTCGGCGAGTTCTTCCTTTACAGGATCGGGACATTTCCAAGCCAACTCGTCGAGTTCCTCCATGTACTTATCGAGTTCTCTAGTCTGTAAGCTCTTCTTGATGCATTAAGCGCTTATCCTTCAAATCTACACTCTATACTCTGATTCTAGTCTAGAATTGCTCCTAGAAGGGTAAAGTTCCCAACTTTACCCATAATACCTCTCCTAAAGGGGTTAAGCTCAAACCCTAACCCAAAAAGGTCAAGGTCTTAATCCAAACTTCACCAAAACTGCAAGATAACCCACGGGGTTGTAGATCTGGACTCTAGGGGAAAGAAAATCACGTAAAGCTTCAAGCGTTATCCACATGCATGGCCCTTTGGAGCTAAAAAGGATAAAATAGAGGCTTAGAGGTTGCATGGGACTTCCATGGCCATAAGGTTTGCACCTTTATGCCATGAGAGTCCCTCTAGACACTAGATCTGAAGTGTTCCTCACTTGGGATGCCCAAATCCCAAGAGTCATATCATTTGGACCAAAAACCACATAAAGATGCTAAGGTAGAGATTAATCAACTACTAGTCAAGTTTGAGAATTGATTACCAGAAAGTGATGGAAATGAAGTGGTGTTTCTGGATCTATTAGCTTCTTCTTGATTCCCCAAGCTTCTTCTTCCTTCCTAAGCTTCAACACTCATAAGAACACTCAAAAATGGCTCACTATAGCATTAGGATTTTGAGATCTAGGGTTTGCACAATGAAGGATGGAAATGAGGCTAAAAGGTGGGGATTAGGATGCTTAAATAGGGTAGAAAAACCTGGATTTAGGGTTTCCCAAACCCAGACCAAATTGTCCAGTTGGTCCTCCCAACTCGTCGAGTAGGTCCCTCCACCAGTGTCCCAAACTTGCTCCTACTTGTCGAGTTATCCCCGCTTGGACTCGACGAGTTGCCTTTTGATTTGGGGTTTTTCTTTCCTTAATTGGCCTTCTGGATTTCGAGTGTTACACGGAATCCGATCAAATCCCTTACCATCTTTGATTTTTACCTGCTCCGATGATGTCTGCTCTGGCTGCGGCGGTGGCCCAGATGTTGACTCCGGTAGAGATAAACCTAAGCCACTCGACATTGTTTCTGTTTGTACTTTAATCATTTATGTATGTATTTTTTGATCTCTTATGTCAAATTATTATGGGGTTTTGTTCTCTTAAAGTCCCCTTCACTGATTTCTAGATGATATATTTCCCATAATGAGATCAACTTATCTTCTTTGAAAAACTCCCAAAAAATTTGTAGTCATGGCTTCCGAAGAAGACGATGCTCCCGTTTGGATAGCCTATAACACCCATTTGTGGTGGTGACAGGTCCCCTCGATGGTTCTCGTAACATCAACAGGTCAATCCCCCACTAGAATAATATTTGGGATCTACAATCGTTTAACAGAAATCGATAATCTTCCAACAGAGGATAAGGTGTTATTGAATTCATTACAGAGCGACAACCACCTCGTTGTCGTCGTCTATGTTCTTTACTACTGCACCACCATACTCTACACTCCATTCGGTTCCGACGCACACGCTTTCACTCTCGATCATTCCACCGAAGACTTTGTTCTTACACACCCAGACGTCAAAATCCCTCGTCGTGGTCAGATCTATTCTGGAAACGATTCTTGATACTTTGATTGGCCGGAGGTTTGAGGCGATACATCGATACAATCAGACAAGGGAAAGGGAAGTTTCCAAAGAAGTATTATGTGCTTTATATTTGTTCGTTGGTTGCTGGTTTTCATAGAACTTTGATGTATGGTGGAGTGGGGATGTACCCTTGAGACCATTTACGGCTTGTTTATGAGGCAAATCCGTTGAGTTTTGTGGTGGAGCAAGCCGACGGGAAAGGGTCGGACGGGAATAACATGATTCTCGTTGCAGTGAGTCGAAGAGGATGAAGAAAGAAGAGAAGGCGAAGAAGAAAGCTGCCAAGATGATGATGGCTTGCAATGAGTCGCCTTCTTCGTCGGAGAGTTCTTGTTCTTTAGAACCTGACTATGAAAACGTGGTGGGTAGGCGGAGAAGCGGTTGTGGAGGGTTGCAAATGTATAGAGAAGTACAGAGCTACAAATGTCATGGTATGCACCAACGGCGATGACAGAAATGGGTGTCCGTTATGCATTGATGTTGGACTTGAGAATGTTGATTCGACTGTGACTAGTTTCTTTAGTGGGAGTCAGAGATATTCTGATATGATGCCGACATTTTAAGTGTTTGATTAGATTATGGTTATGATTTGGTAATTTGTGAGGTGGATTTTAGTTTAATTCTTATAACTTGTGAAAAAAGCCAACTCATCGAGGATACAGATAATAACAAGTCAATGCCCTTTTTTAGCAGGTAAAAATAGATTTTATGCCTCTAAACTACCCAAAAGTAACACGAGGGACCATTTAAAACAAAACCTGATAATTGGTTGGACTACAATGAAAACAACAAAAAAAAAAAAAAGTTACTAATGAATGTGTTCTTTAACGTTAATCCATTTCATGGTGACTGAATGGTGTTTGAATTCTAAGGTTTTATTGTCAATATTCTATTATTCCATGCGTGGAGTTGAAAATATAATTTCACTTGATTCGTTTCAACATCATGTGAAAAATCAATTGCTACAAAAGAAACACATGTGTACACACTCTATAACATGGCAGCTGGTCCGTATGCATGTGCCAGTAAATCTATCCATACTAAAGGGGTGGTAAAAATCATTAGTTAATTTGTAGAAGCTTGTTCTTTTGAATCGGTGGTCCCTTTTCTTATCACATAACATCGATGGCTATAATAAATATATACATACGCACATGTACAGTTTGATATAGAAAGATGAATATGTAAACTTTATGTGGTCGGAAACTTTATGTGGTCTGAAGAAGAAACAAAACTACACAACTGTGTTTTGAAATCTCTCTCTCTCTCTCTCTCTCTCTCTCTCTCTCTCTCTCTCTCTCTCTCTCTCTCATCGCGACCTATAAGCATGCATGCCTTCTGTACATGAAGTCTCTCTTTCTCTATCTGTGTGTGTGTGTGTGTGTTTGTGCGTGTCCATCTATCTATAAATTGTAGTTCTTGTTTCGAGAATATTGGTGTCCATGTTGCCATGTTGGTCTAAGAGATTGAAGCTGCCAGCATGATCTGGTATCTTAAACCATTCCATATGTTCTTTATGTTATTGTGAGTATTTCTGTCTGGTGTATTCTGTGATATATGAGTATATATATACATAGATGGAGACTTACACTTATATGAAGATAAGATATGGTTAATCAGGTCATCTTGCAGCTTCAATCACTCATGCTCGACAGTTATATATATAGATGATTCTATGTGAATTCACCCGTTTCCGATGTAAGAACTGGTACTCACTACTTCTTTAAAAGTCGTTGGCACGTCTTTCTTTTCTTTCTTAACTGAAACTATCATTTAATATTCATTTGCTTATTTTTTGGATGAGACCAACTATTTAGGGTTTAGGCTATAGTATTGTTTATATATTTTTGTATGTTTTATTTGTTGGGTCATATGTTAATTTAATTTTAAATTAAAAATTAATTCTTGTAATCATATTTTCATTTAGGACGTAATATTTCTTTATCTATAAACAATCATTTATATTTTTTAAAAGTCATATACATAAAAAAGTATATGGTGTATATGGATAAAAGTTATTGTATAAGAGTAACTTTGCTTTCATTTGCTCTTATATCATATCCACTAATGCATAACCCAACAAGAAAAAGAAGAATTACGGCGACAAAAATCACTCCTAAGGGTAGTTTTGTCGCCGGTAAAAACAATAGCGGCTACACGTTGCCGCTAAAAAGTCGCAGGTACTGTCTTGTCGCTATTGCTCCAAATGTTGCCGCTAAAGATATGTGTTGCCGATAATACTCCTGTTGCTGGTAATACCCTTTGTTGCCGCTAATAACCCAGTCGCCGGTAAAAACAATAGCGGCTACACGTTGCCGCTAAAAAGTCGCAGGTATTATCTTGTCGCTATTGCTCCAAATGTTGCCGCTAAAGATATGTGTTGCCGATAATACTCCTGTTGCTGGTAATACCCTTTGTTGCCGCTAATAACCCAGTCGCCGATAATTTCCTTTGTCGTCTTTATTATTTTGCATTTTTTTTTAAATCAACACTTTTCGGGTGCAAAAATTTGATACGTAACGACATTAAATAAAAAATTACATAACGACATCCAATTAGGTACTAAATAGTGTTATAATTCCAACAAGTACCAAAGTGTCACAACAAGTCTAACATACAAAACACAAACTAATTATCTGACGAACCATCATCTACGTTCCCTCGCTTCCTCCTTGATCTTTCCCCGATTGAAAAAACGTATAAAGTTCCTCCCTACACCGTGTCTTTGAGCATTGCACAAAGATTTTCCAAATACATAATAAATAACAACATATATAAACTTATAAGTTAAACTATCAAACATAAAAAAAAAAAAAAAAAAAAACTACCACAGTACATTGCTATTCTCTTTCACTTAAATACAAGAAATACCAAAAGTACATTGCTATTTCTTGCACTTGGGACATAAACACAATTACCAAATCAAAATGCATTTATTGATGCCAAATTACATTGCTATTTTTAAACTAGGGATAAAAAACCAAAGTACATTTCTATTTCTTGCAGTTGGAAGATAAACGTAATTACAAACACAATTACCAAATCAACATGCATTTATTAATTATTATATAGATATACAAGACTTTGAAATTAAATAATATACTTATTTTGTGCTAAAAAACCTTAAATACTAGAAATACCAAAGTACATTGTTATTTCTTGCACTTGGGATAAAAACACAATTACAAACACAATTACCAAATCAACATGCATTTATTGATACCAAAGTACATTGCTATTTCTTGCACTTGGGACAAAAAAAAAACCAAAGTACATTGTTCTTTCTTACACTTGGGACAAAAACCAATTACCAAAGCTTTTTGCAAATGATCACGACAAGGCAAAATTACCAAATCAATATACGTTTATTGAAATTAAAGAGTCTTGTTTTACCTGTGATGGTTGTGACTGTGGTGGTGGCTGCGATGGTTGTGCAATCGACGGGATAACAGAAGGTTTATGGCCGCTGCCTCTGATATGGCCACACCGTTCACTTAATACTGTCTCGAAACATTGTCTTTCTTCAGCGGGTGATAAATCTATTTCACCTTCTAGCCCTTGCATTTGTTCTAAGAGCTTTTGCACTAACCGATTCTATGTTTTCCAAAAATGAGTAACAATTAAGTATAAATAAATTCTTAATTAGATTATCAAATTATAATTAAAAACTTACGTATTGCTGCTCCGCCATATCAATAACAAATACACCATTTTTATCGGTATGAGCAGCGCGAAAAGTTTGAACTTTCTTAAGGTTATGTTTAACATTAAAAATTAGATTGTATATTAAATAAATAATTACATATATCATACATTACCTTTTTATAGCAAGTACTGTTATACGAGCTCGACCCCGACAGTTCACGAACGTTTATAGTTCACAGACTTTTTTGTTTATTGCTGAAGCAGTTAGGTGTTCATCCGTTTGGAAATACTCAACTACTTTCCTCCAATTATCAATCTCGATATCATCCAGGGGGTGGCTAATACTCACAAGATATCTGTATACCTTTCACCGTCAGAAAATATGCTTTTGCCCCATCATTACACTCTCTAAAAACTTTTAACAAAGCCGCTTCAAAACTCACTAACAACCCAGCAGCCTCTATATCCTGGGAAATCCGATCAAAATCAAACTTTGTCTACAAAAACAAAAAAAAGTTAGCTAAGTAAAAACCAATCATAATTAACCATATAAAATATTCTTATATAAATAATTCACCCTTAAATGTTGTTTTATTGTATCCTTTATTACGGGGAAAACGTTTTTCCAACTTCTTGTATCAAAAGGGACCATCCGCCACATTACTTTCCCAATTTCGCGTGCAAACATGTCTTTTGGCTATTCTACGGGATCAAATGTCATATCCCTATCATAGCCCATGTCAATTGGTTTGTCCTTATTATTTAAGAGCGCCTTTTTGAGCTTAATGTTTTTCGTTTTTCCTCTAGCTCTCCTGTGTGGCACAACTACAAATATAATTAAAAATGATTAGAAATGCTATTTTATAATAAATGAATAAAAATAGTAAATAAAAATTCATATTAAGACTTACCATCCTGCTTATGCTGACCAGCACCTCTACTGCCTGGTAGAGGTGGGTCCCCGACTCCATCGCCCCCATGTTTATGAACCATAACAACAACCATGTTGTACAAAAACAAGATTCATATCAACACCATTACCTGGAAAATTATAAGCTATACAGACACAATTTCTATTATAAATACACATTACATACGAATAAACATTTCTATTTAAACTAGGAATCCAAATAAAGTTTTTATTCCAAATACACATTACATAAGAACTATTCTAATTAGTATCTTCCATATATCCTTCAGCGTCTTCTTCAGTATCATAATCAGAATCATTCTCATCATAATCAGTCTCGCAATCAGAAACATCGTTGACTCAATCGGTTGGTAGAGGAACTATTGTTGCACTCTCTACCTTAACATCGACTCTAGGAATGTTC